GACTGCAGGTAACAAGGCAGGCTGTCACAAGTTAAAGCTCGATTGCTTTATACCGAAGTTGTCTATGAAGTGCTCGGAAAAACGCTTATACTAATGCGTTCTTGCTTCGAGGATGCCGTATAAAGGGCTAGTCATAAGGAACAAAGTGCCGAGGGGAAATCGATAAGTAATCTTTTTAAGTGGTCGCACGACGATTATTCGGATGAGCTTCGTGCTTGACTAAGTGTAAGCTTGAGTGATATCTCTGCTATAGACTTGACACCCGTAGTCTTTTATTAAAGAAAGAGCTAGAGCATAATAGAGTCTTTGGCCCGCTCGCTGCATCGTAAGTGACTCGGTGAGTACCCTCGTCTTGCTCTTATCTTGAAAAGCTTGGACCATTATACGAGACTTCTCGTATAGCGTAAGTGTTCCTTTGCTCTTGATCTTATTAACAAACCTAGATCCGAAGATCTTAGCGCTTTTAACGCGTAGGTCGGTGCTCGGGATCACTTAAAGGATGCTTTAGGCTATCAATCCAGCTAATTCTTTTGCTTTAGACTCTTGAAATAGTGCTCCGGGGCTCTTGATGATTCTTTCGGCTCGTAGCTTGGCTAAGAGCTTATAGTCTCGGCGTTCCTTGTCGATAATCAACACCTCGGAGTCCTTAGTGAATAGAACGTAAGAATCGTCCTCTTCTTCGTCGGGCACAGTCGGGATACTAAGGTCGTACTTTTAATAAGGTATCTGGACCATTGGTATTGTTGATCTCTAGGAATTGACAAGTTAAGGGTTAGGAGGGCTGTTTGCTGATCTTGACGAAGTTGTCGGATTACGCGGCTTCGGTAGAAGATTAGGCGAATGTTAAGGTTTAAGCGAATTTCGTATTTCCAGCTCTTTTTCGTCTTCGCTTTGATCTTCTTCCACCTCTTCTTCCACCTCTACCTCAGGTACTTGCAACTCCTTTAGCAGCTTTTCAACTTCAGAGTAGTAAGGTTTTACTAAGGTTGACTTGAATTCCGTAGGCCTCGGACATGCTATTGTGCACGTGTGCCCTTGCCTGTTAAGAAGCTGAAAGGGGCCTTTCTACCCTTGATTCTCCCGCCATACGAGTACTTGTGAGCTAATAAAGAGGTCCAAGGTATGCTCCGTAACTAGCCTATTCCTCCTCTTAAGCGCGTCCTTAACCTGCTTTGCTGCGTAGCATTTTCGTACTTCCTTTATAGCTTTGTTGATAGCAGCAGCACGCTTTTAAGTAAACGCGGCAGGTCGATCTTGTTCCGTCAGCCTTAGTAAGGTGTTAAAAACGAAGAGTGTAAGAACCAAGCTATTAGGTCTAGCTGTATCGTTGATAGCTTTAATAGCCATTTGAAGCCGGTCCTCCCTTGAGGCTTTTGGAAGCTCCTTTGTGACGATCTTAAAGGCGCGTCGTACAAGGACGTGGTAGCGTTCTACTAGCCCGACGCTATAATAGGCCTCTATAAGCATCTGCTTTAAAGTGCTGCTAACACTTTTAAGGTAGCTTCGGAACGTTGCCGAATTGAAGTTGGTTTCGGGATCGTGCACGACGTTTATAAGAGGTCTTACGTAAGTATTAACTTAACATCGACTGAATCCTTTAAGTAAGTGCTATGCGGATATGCTTTTAAGGAAGGTAGCGGCTTGAAAATTAATAGAATCGCAAACGACGTGCAATACGTTCTTGCCGTCAAAGTGCATTACGTCTACGTATACTGTATTATTAAAGTCAGTATTATCTTTGAGCTTGATATTAAACCTTTTCGAAGAGCGTCCGAATACTTAGCAGTAGTGGCAAAACTTTTGGATGTTGTAAAGCAAATCTCGTTTGAATTCGTGCTCGGCCTTCTTGAGAACAGCAGCAAATCGACCTGCTAAAGGATAGCCAAAACGCTTGTAGATAGTCTTCAATTGCTCTTCCGTGAGGTAGCAGTAGACGGTCTCGCCTTCGCTTTCGGTATTGTAATAAATAGCAGCGTGCTTTTTACTCAATAGCATCTATACGTGTCTAAACATCCTTACCACTGGTATTTCCCTCTTCCTTTAGACTAGCACGTTCCGTAAGTTATTTAAGATTACCTTGTGCTTGTTTATATCAGCTAACGAAAATAAAAAGAGTACGTCGCTCTTTATAACGTAGAACTCCACTTGACTTAAAAAGGTATCTAAAGTAACTGCTTTAATAGAGGTGGCAGATCCGATCTCGTACTTGACGGACTTTTCTTTTGCTCGAGATATATTTAATTGGACCTCGAGGTACTTCTTTTGGAATGCTCGTAGCTAAGGCAAGCTAGCGGTAGAGAAATTAGCTGCTCCGCTGTCGATTATAAAGCTTATAAAGACGTTTTCCGAGTACTTAAAAGCTATGTAAGTCTTTGCTTTGCTTTCGGGCACGTTTTAGGTCTCGATTTGGCTAGTAAGGGCGTGGAATGCCGTTTGGATCTCTAGCTGTTTATATACTTCGTTAGCGTCAAAAGTGCCGTAAGTAGTCACAAAACCTTCCGATATGTTAGCGTGGCTGCTCGATTCGGGTGGCTCGTCTGGTAGGCCTGCGATAAACTGATCGAATTCTTTCGTAGATACAAGTGGCAAGCCTTTAATCGATGCTACGTATTAAAAGAATTTGCTTTTCGTCACTTTTTTTGCGTCCTTAAAAGCCTAGAACTTAGCGACGGATGCCTTTCTCTCGTCGAGGGTGTGGTTGGTGCTCTAGCAACTTGGCTTTTTGCAAACAAAACACCTTTTCTCACTCTTAGTAGCTTTGGCAGCTTTCTTACCTCCGAAGTATTGGCGGTCTTGAATAAAACATTCGTATTCTTCGTTTAAATCGGAGTCAGCTTTTGAGGTGTTGTGCTAAGAGCAGGTGTGATCGTGTGGCTCGCTAGAGCTCGCGTAAGCTCTAGCTTTGGCGGGTCGAGAGGTCTTAGTTGCAAATGCAATTGCTCGGCGGATATCGGCAACTGCCGCGGTAGAGGTAAAAGCAAGATTCATTCGTGCAATCGTAATCTTTAGCACGTTTTTACAAGCTGAATACAGCTTGTTAGCAAGACTTCGATCGTCTTTTAAACCTGGTCGTAGAGAGCCTTGAATGCTTTTAAGCTCTTTAGCGAGCTTTTCAAAGCACTCGCTAAGCGAGGTCCTTAGATTCTTTTTCTTGACCAAATCCAACGAAATTTCTTTTTAGCGGTCGTATTTTGCTTACCGCCGGTGGTTAATCTCGAAGTAGTCCTTTATAGCAATAGCGTTTGCTTTGAACGTCGGAAGCCTGGCTTTAATTACATAATTGTAATAAAAGGTTATAGCTTCCCTCGTAAGTATAATTGGGAACGCTACTAAATAATCGTCGGATGTTAAGCCGTACCGACTTGCTTGGTTAGCGAAAATACTCAATTAAGTCTTGAAGTCATCGTCGAGTCTCGAATACTTCAGTTCCTTAAGAAAGCTTTTTGCAAACAAAGCCAACTCTTTTGCTTTTGGGTAAGGGTCAGTTGCTTTTAGCTTAAGGAAATCGTCACTATTATCGTCAAAGGCGCTTGGAGTGCCGTACGCAAGCGTGTTATGCCTGGCTAGTGGTCGGATCGGTAAGGGGTTACCGATATAATTGCCGGTGGTCCATCCTTTTCTAAGGTCCTTAAGAGGCTCATTTCCGAATCCGAAGTCCTTTAAAGGTCCGTTTCCGAATCCCTTTAGTGGTCCAAGGGGCCTATTTCTACCCTTTCCGTACTCGTAGCTTCGATCTCTTTGCTAATCTTCTCCGTTTCCTTTTCGTCGGTTATCGTCAGGATCGCTAAAGCCATTTAGATCATTAGCTAAAGCTCTAGCTTAGTGATATCCGTACCCTTAAGCGCGTTCTTAGCGATTCTTATACCCTTAATCTCTCTTTTGTTGATACGTAGCCTCTTAAGAAATGTGGGTAGCTTGCCGATACGTCCGAGGGTGCTAGATCTCCCTTTCGGGTTGCTAAGGTTAAGCACGGAAATCTGCACGCTATCCTTGGTGAGAGCTGATTTTGTCCGGTATGCTCTTAGGTTTTGGCGGGTCTTCCTTTAGCGTATAGCTCTCGTGGCCTCGAGTATTGTCTAGTCTGCTGATGATCCCAGGACCCTTGTTGTTGTTGCTACTAAGCCTAGGCTTTTTAGAAAATTAAGTGTAGCTCTTGAGAAAGGGGTTTAAGGGCCGCTGAGGTAATTTTGGCTCTTGTATGATTGGCGTATTGCGTAGCGATTGATGAATTAAGGGCGTCGAGTACGCTGAAGTGCTTCGTCGTAGCCCTTCGTTGGATTGGATAGCGTAAGTCCGTAATTCCGCTATTTGCCTTGCTATAGCCTCTATATTTTGCTTTATATCCCTCTTCTCTTTCGCAAATTCCTCGCGTAACCTCCGAATCTCTTCTCCTTCTTCTTTCTCTTTCCCTTTTGGACTTCGTGGGGGTGGTGGAGGTGGTTGAGGCGTATTATCCTCGTCGTTCGTGAGGTTTTCGGCAGTCCACCTTAAATCGAGGCTTAAGGGTGTTGCTTGTTGCTCTTTTATTTCTTGGAAGGTCCACTGGTGCTGCTGCTCGTCGTTCAATAGCTTGACCATCCTATTAGCGTAGCCCCTTTGCTTTAGGAGGCACCATACGCCTTTGGATAGCAAGTGTTCCTTGAAGCTAATAAAGGTAGCAAACTTAAGGCTTCGTCTCGTATTGTCCTCCGTTATCGTAAAACTCGTTTAATCTTAGCGTGAGAAAGCGTGCCGGAATAGGCTCTACAAGTCGTAATCCTTCAGCCCTTTACACTTCGCATCCAAGAAGTCCTTTACTATCGCTCGGGCTGTGATCTCACTGTCTAGCCTTGCGTATAATAGCTCATTTAGGTCAAATGAGATGCTCGACATCTTATCGTCTGGTCCTTTCGAGAGGCTTGGGAGCCTTAGGTATAGTGTTTCTTTTGGCTGAATAGCTAGGGGTTCCGTGAGTGGTGATGAAATTCGAAGGGTATAATACCTTGCTCTTTGTCGGCTGGACTCCCTACCTGGAGGTCCAGTTGCTCGATCGGCTATAGTTGCTGTTTGCTCGTACGTAGATCGATCTTGTTGGTTAGGTTTGCTATATGTAGCAGGCGCGGCTTTTATAGCGTTGAAGGTTGTTGTTTTTGAAAGTGACTTAGTTCGGAATCACTTTTCCGTAGGAATAAGGAAAATCGATAGTATAGAAAGCGACTTGGTACGGAATCGCTCTTCCGTTGTAAAGGAGGGAGGTATCGTATTAAAAGGTATCTTCGCTATAGAGTCTTAGCTTCTTTGTGATTGATCACTTAGTAGTAAATCAATTATTGATCAGTGTTAGATTGCTTTTTAAGCGATTAAGAATATATATTCGTAAGGTCGTAACGGTCGTCAAAGTACTTGCAATTGCAAAACACTCGGTTGATAAGGTATTTGAATTCTGTCTGCTCCTTAAGGCTCAAGGGAGCTAACTCCTTTTATATGATTAAAAGGAATCACGTGCACTAGCTAGCTAATAGGTCTACTAGTCAAGTTAAAGGTCTCTTGACTGCTGATATGTTAAGCGAAGCATGCCAAGTGGCCCGTGAACCATGGTTCACGGGTGAACTCCCTAACTACTACTACTACTAGCTAGCTAAGGTCGATATAGAGATACCGACAATAGCTATAATAGAATCGTAAGTGAATAAGAAAAGAAAAAGAAGACGATCGAAAGACATTCGAATGTGTGCTGTAAGTACGTATATTGTATTATGTATGATATGGTGCTAGTTCAAAGAAGAACCAACTACTCGTTTATATAAAAGCTTACACGTAATCTAATTACGTGCTTAGCAGAGCTAAAGCATACAGCGCACTTACGTGATAAAAATGCTTAACATCAGTACTATATACATGAACAAAACAAATACAAAGCCGCAACTCCACCACAATATTCGTTAGCTCGAACGAGCGTTTAAAGATTACGGTATCGTTAGCGATTCGGAAAAAAAGCAATGCTTTATTAAATATAATATTTCTAGCTTTTTCGGTTATAATATACGTTGCAATATCGAAAGCTTCGAAAGCTTTTCGGATTCGAAAATAATCTAAGTGTGACGACCTTAAGCGATTACCTGAAGGAACTCACGAAAGCGCGAAGGTTCATATAAAAGCTTAAGAGAATCTTAAAGTAATAACTTAGAATCAATAACTACCGAATATAAAAGTCGAAAGTAGCTGAGGTCTATATATACGAAGATAAAAGCGCTAAAGACTCGTGAACTATAGTTTATAAGTTAAAAGCGAAGAATAAGAGAATACGAAGAAGTACGAAAGAAAAAAAGAAAGAAGTAGCTTAGCGCATATAAAGTGCGTTTAAAAGACTTAACGTATCGTTATATTATCTTTCCGTTCGAAAAAAGCTCGTCTTCGAGCGTCTATCTATTGCTTTATTACTGCTCAAGTGATCGTAATCATTAATACCGTCCGAATAAGCTTTGATCTATTCGAAGAGCTTCGCGAGAAAGCCGAAGAGCTTTTTGTGTTTTAAATAGAAGTTACGTATTTTAAAAAGAGCGTATATAAAATCGGAAGCGAAGTATTAAGTAAAGTCAATATCGCGGCCGAGCTAAGAAGCGCGGTATTCAAAGTGCTTTTTAGTTTAGCGTACGGTTAAGTTATTTTCTATTTTATACTTAAGTTCGCTAATAATATTAATCGGGTCAAGTTCAAAAATGATTTGTCCGAAAGTAAAGTCATTCAAAGCTTTTCGTAGCCGTTTAAAGTAAAAGACTAAGTGAACTTTTATTAACTCAAGAAGCTTAAGTTTAAAGCTGCTATAAACGTTGTCGATAACTTAAAACAATCCGTTCGTAAAGTTATCGAGCTTCTTTAACGGTCGAAAAGTAAAGAATAAGCGTATATTTAATTAAACTTTATTATTAACGTCGAAGTTAATTAAGCGCTTTAATTTATTAGCTTATTTAACTATACGGTTTTAAGCGCGTTAAAAGTGCTTTTTAGCGAGGTTTTAAGCTCCGAAGTAGCGGTTAGCGTAAGCGCGAGCTTCGTTATAATTAAGCTTGCGAAAAAAAGTTTAGTCGTTAAGTCGTTTTAAGCTTTAATTCTAAGTAGTTCGAAAAGCGTAGCCGTGAATTACTTTAAAAAAAGAAAGACCGCCGAAAGAGTCGTAAAAGAGCGTCAATTAAGCGAAGTTTATTATAAAAAAGAACTCGCTTTAATCGTCTTAATAATAGCTTACGAAAAGACGGAAGCGCTTCTGCAAATATTAATTGTAGATTTCGGTTTGATTATTAGTCTTAAAATGTACGGCGGTGTTAAAAGTCAGTTTAGTATCGAAGATTTTATTAAATTCTTTTTAAAACTCGGACTAGTATTAAAGTCTTTTATTAAAAGTTTATATTAAAAAAGCTTTAAAATACTTGTAGATATAATAAATATAAAGCTTAGCGAAGCTTTTAGCGTCGATAGACTTGTGATAAAAGATCGAGATTGCTTATTTAAAAAAGCGGTCGATTATTACAAAAACGTTATCGTAGCCGTGTTTGTCTTTATTAAAGCTATAAAAATCTATAATAACGTGCTTTTAAAAGCGCGAAAAGATCGGGAAAAGTTAAAGCAAACTAAGTTTTTTATCGCGAAGCATTAAAGCTCGTTTGCAAGCGTAACAGTTGCAGCAATATTAATTAACGAATCTAACTATACCGTGTTAATAATATTATGCTATAAAAAGCTTATAAGTTTTGCGAAAGCTAAAGTGTATTATAAATACTTGATCGTAGACTTTTCGAACGAATAACGAGCGCAAGTTTTAAACGTCGAAAATTAATAAGCGGCTGTCATAAAGCAGCAAGTCGCTTTTTATAATAAGTTTAACTCGTAAACCGTGGTTTACGAGTAAAGACTTAGCTTTAAAAGCTTGAATTCGAAGTGTTGAAAAACTAAAAGCGGTCCGATTAACTTTTAAGACTTAATTAATAACTTAAAATGTCGGTAAAAGCTTCGCGATCTTTTCGATAGTAACGACGGTCTTCGAAAGCGTAAGTTAGCGTAGCTTTTCGGTTAAAAGTCGTAAGTTAACGTTATCAACGCGGAACAGCGTTTGCAAGCGCTAAGTGCGCTTAAAGCTATTTTAAAAAAGAAGCTTTTCGATACGACGTATTAACGCGTTAAATAAAAAGTTGTCTTTACTTGGTTTATACGTAATAATAAAGTTGTAATCGAAAAAGAGCTTTGCTTAGCGTGCTTAACGAGCGTTAAAAGTCTTAAAGGTTATAAAGTACTTTAAAGCTTTATAATCGATAATTACTTGAACTTAATAAAAGAAACCGGCGAGTTCGGCGCGGAAGTTATCAAAAGAGCGTATGATAGCTAGCATCTCTTTATCGTAAACGACGTAGTTAAGCTTAGCGAAAGCTATAGTTTTAAAGTAGTAAGCGACTAGTAGCTAGTCGGAACTATACCTTTAAGAAAAGATTAAAGCGATTACGCCGTCGGAAGCGTCGGTCTTTAATATATAAGAAAAGTTTTAGTTGTAATGCTATAAGATTAACGTAATAATTAAAGCGAGCTTTAAAAGGTCGAAGCTCTTTTGATATTAAGAATTAAATAAAAAGAGAACGTTAGCTTTAATCAAGTGCATTAAAGGCTTTGCGATTACGCCGTAATCTCGAATAAATCGGCGGTAAAAGTTATAAAATCCAAAGAAGCTTTAAACGCTTTTAACGATTATAAAGAGCGCTTAATGCTTTACTATCGAGGTCTTGTCCGAGTTTACTTTTAAGCTTTCGATAAAAATAATAAAGCTTAAGTATTTTACTTTAATAATATTAAATTCGCATTTTTTGATATTAGCTTAAAAGCTAGCGTCGTCGAGTCGTTAAAGAACTTAACGGACGTAGTAAGCGTGCTTTAAAAGGTTAGAAGAGTAGATTAAGATATCGTTTAAATATACCGTGCAAAAGATATTTAAGAAGTCGAAAAGAAGGTCATTTATATAGCGTTAATAAGTAGCGGATTTATTAGTTAGTCCGAATAAAAGAACTTTGCACTTATAAGCACCGTAACGTATTTTGAATATTATAAGCTTTTCGGAAGCTAAGTCTATCCGTATTTTATAAAAAGCTTGCCGAATATCGAGTTTCGTAAAGATTTTAGCTCTTAAAAGACGTGCGAAAGTCTTATCGATCAAAAAGAAAAGGTATCGATCTTTACGAATAAAGTTGTTTAGCGCGCGGAAGTCAATACAAAAGCGGAAGGAACCGTCTTGCTTTTTAGCGAAAAAGACTAGAGCTGCAAATAGCGCTGTTAAAAGTTTAATAAAACTTTTGTTAAGATTGTCGATAAAGTAAGCTTTAGTAAGCTCTAGCTTAAGAATCGATATTTTGTACAATAATAAGTATCGAAGCGCTTTTTCTTTCTTTTCGAAAAGCTCGATTTTATAATCGTAAAGCTTATATAGTGCTAATACGTTGCTAACGGCTTTAAAAAACACGTATACGTAATCGGAGTATTCGAAAAAGATAAGAAGGTCGTTAATAAGCTTTAATAGTTCCGCTATAAAGTCAATAGCAAAGGTGGAGCCGTTAGTAAAGCGTATTAGCGCTGCTTAATAATCAGCTTAAGTAAAAGCAATCGTTTAACGCTTAAAGATCAAGCAATCGAGCTCGTAAAAAAACGTAAAGAATAATTTTATATCTTTTTAACGAGCGATTATATAAAAAGCGTATCCGAAGACGCCGTTGATTTTAAGATTTTTATTAATCTTGTATTTAAATGTTTAGCGAAAGCGTTTAACGAGTAAAAGAGGTTTTACGAAAGCGATATCGGTTAATACGAGCTTACGGTTTATTTAAGACATTGATTTAACGTAGTTTTTAAAAAAAGTA